GGCTGCCTTTTCTAATAAAATTCGTGGATAATCTTCACCCAAGGTATTTTATGTTATTCATCTATGTGTTCTTCCACCCATAGAGCCCCCTAGGTTTCCCCCAATTGTGAAGAAAAAACCCAATCTAACTAGGGTTTCTTCCTACATTGTGGGTAGTGTTGAAGTATGACTCCAATCAAGTGGATAATACTTAATTATGGTTGATTTAGTATTGAATTGTGATATTATGATGAATTTATGTGATTTCCATGTTTAACCCTAGCCTGATTGATGAATTTGGTATTATGTGGGTTTATGCCATGAAAGGTGAATTTGATGATTCTTAGGTGATCTTCTAGAATTAGTGCTATGAGTAGTAATTGATTAATAATACAAACATATAGACATAAATTGAATTAGAATAATGTGAATATGATGGATCTTGACTAGTAAGGTTAAAGTTGAACCTTTAGGATGAATTATGACTAGAATCACCTAATAATGAAGAATGCGGTTAGAATACCTTGAAATTTAGGTATGAGTGATGATAGTAAGAAGTAAATCTTTGAGTGTAAGTCTTGTAGTCATGAAGGTTGATCATTAGGGTTTTGAGAGTAAAACCAATTTGATGAACTAGGCATGTTAAGGCTTTGAGAGTAAAGTCTATATGAGATTAGAAGCTTAATGGATAGAGTTATGGTGGAAGACCTTTACCTACCGAATCTACCTCATGAATGCTTGAATGTATGAAGTGATAGAATCACTTAACTCATGATGATATCCATGTCTAATGTAGAATTCTAGAAATGGTATTATGCATGAATATGATATGACATGAAAGGTTCTCTCACATAGAGTGATTCTAGGTTGAAAGTCTATTCTCACCTAAAATGAATCTAAGTCCTAGGACTATGAGATGTGATGAGGCTTGTGGTGATTCCCTTAAAAGACCTTTACATGATAGGAATGTGAGGTGAGTTCCCTTATTCCTAATTAGTTAATCATGGGGAGTGTGAGGTAATTACCCTTTATAGATGTGTGACTCCCAAGGCAAGCGGTGATTACCCATTAGCCTTTAGGTTGATCATGGAGGCGATTACCTATGATCCTTATGTGATGATGTGGAGGTGAATACCTACATTACACATTAAAATGAATATGGAGGCGAATACCTATATTCCATTAATAATGAACATGGAGGCGAATACCTATGATTCATTAGTTTGTATGACTAGAGGTGATTACCATTGTCCTTATGATTCATTAGTATGTACAACTAAAGGTGATTACCCTTGTCTTTATGATTCTATGATATATGTGGCTTGAGGTGACTCCCCTTGTGCTTCATGATGAACTAAACATGTATGCCTTGAGGTGACTCCCCCTTGCATTCATGAACATGAGCATGACTAGTTTGGATTGTAGCTTTTGAGGCCCTCAAATACATGCATGACTAGTGGTGACTCCCTTTGTCTTTATGATGTTAAGAGATGATAAACATGAATGATGAACCTAAAGTGTCTAGCTTAGCATGGGTAGGATTATGAGGTCTTGTTCATGCATGGCACAAGCTTGCCTTAAGGTGACTCATGAAGTGTTTCTCTTATATGATGTATGCTTAGATAGGATTGTGTTATATTTTCCTTCCTTGTTATGTTATGATTGACTAAAGGTGAGAGATTCCCTTGGTTATGAAGTAAGCTAAGAATGAGACCAATGAGTGGTAAGTATGCATATGGTGACTTCAAGGTTGTGCTTAGTTGTCACGACCCAAGCCTAGGGCCTAGACGTGACCGGCGAATGGGGAACCCAAAGGAACCCCAAACAAGCCTCATAGCGTATCATTACACATCCTTGGTCGTGGAAGCAATTA